CCGCCCAGAGTCACGCTCAGATCTCTACTCCTCCCATGACTGCCTCAAGGAGTGTCATTCCCCTCGCGGCCACAAGGTGGGGACCGCCTCTTGCTCTGGGACGTCAGGTCACGACCCCGGAAGCACATCCTCCACCTTGTTTTTAGCGGACATGGCGGCAGCTACAGCTCGAGCCGTGCTGTTCCCGGCTGTGCGGCGGCAGCTCTGGGGTTTCGCCGAGAGGCTCCGGGGGGTCAGAGGCAGCGCTGGGCGGGTGAGCATCCCTCCACTGCCCTGGGCGCCGTCCTGCGCCTCTTCCGCCGTATCCGGTTCAGCGACCCAGCGGACCCCAACGGCTGGCCTGTCCGAGACCCGCGGGGGCCGGGCGGGCTGCGGCCGTCGCCACGTGACCGCTGGAGCCGGGGGAGGATGCGGCCTTCCGCCCCCCGCCAGCTTCTCGGGAGTCACTATAAACCGTGCATGTTGAGCACTAAAACCGTAGTGGTTGGAAATTGCGGGAAACTGAAAAGTGAAATAGTTATTGCCCCAGAGTCCTGCTTTTTGTCAAAGACTGAGCTTCATCCTCACCTGGGCTTCCCACTGATGGGGTGATAGTTAAAGGAAAATTTTGTCAGCATTTGATTTTTCTCATGAGAGAGCCTCTACCTTTCTCTAAGGGATATGTCTATGGGACTTTACGTATAAAGGGAAAGAAAAACTGAAAGGCGTTAGTCATAGTTAACAAGCCAGTCAGCCAAAGTGTATTTTGAGTATTGGACCATCTTTCTATTCTCTTTTTCTATCCGTTTCAAAACTTGTTGCTTTTCTTGAACAATGAAAAGCGGGCCCATTTTTCCCTTTTCTCTTTCCTTTTTCTTTTAACCCCCTGCGTGTTTTCTTCGTAATGAATGTTTAACATTTCCTGGAGCGGTATTAAAATAAAGTCAGTTTATGTACAGGTAGTATAATTCCATCATCTCTAAGTGAAGGGCATGTTTATTATAATGTTGCTGGCTTTAGGACAGTGGTTGGTGAAGGAAGTTTCTAAGCCAGGGAAACAAGCGGAGAGATTATTTTGTACAGACAGTCGATTTGAGATAGATTGGTTTTATAATTGACATTTAATAGAACATTAATAATACACTTTGCTGCTTCTCTTCTACTCCTTGCCATCAACCAGCCATTGTATTTTGGAGGGAACAGATTGAGAAGTACACAGGCTGCTACACAAGTTGTTCTGAATGTTCCTGAAACACGAGTGACACGTTTGGAAAATGGACTCAGAGTGGCTTCTGAAGACTCTGGGCTCTCAACATGCACAGTAAGTGATTCAGGCAACCTTCTCTGAGTGATCTCTCATTTAAGAGAGAACAAATTGTTGATCTTCTTTAATAGGCAGTAATTTTGCCTTGACAGGTTTCTGTGAGTTGTGAATCTTTGTCCGGTGAGGCTTAGTTACAGGGTGCATAAATAGCTTGTTATACTGTCTGCATCTGGTTGTTGTATCCTGTTATTATTTATTATTTGTAATAACAAAAGAGGTATATTTGCTGGGCTACCCCGTGCCAGGTGTTTTTATACACACTGTCTTATTTGATCTTTTTTTTTTTTTTTTCTTTTTGAGACAGAGCCTCAAGCTGTTCCCCTGGGTAGAGTGCCGTGGCATTACAGCTCACAGCAACCTCCAACTCCTGGGCTCAAGCGAGTCTCCTGCC